ATCATTGAAACTTTGTGATATTTACCATGAAAAGTACCATGTCAAAATTTACTCGTTGAAAGGACATAAATAAAAAACAAACATGGAGCTCATAAAAGTAATAGAGTTAGTGTTTATTCGATCTAGGTAACTCTAGTAAATAGTTTATAGGTACACATTACAAGCACATTATAAGTACTTTTATTCTACTTAAACCAAAAAATAGCTAATTTTCATACACTCATAAGATATCGTTAGAATAAATAATTAATTGACTGTAACTGAAATCAGAAAATTGTACAACCTGTAAAATCGTCTAGATGGAGAATACAACGTATTTATGTATAAAGGACTTAGATGAATACTATATAATTGTCTTGTGTGCACCTAATTCAAATGCCAAGAACTAGCTCAGAAAATGTGTGTATTTACCTAAATGTTTTTATTGTAAATATATTATATGTTAGTTATCTAATTACTATCAAAGTAAGCATCCATTTTGACAATAGTATAATCAAATTACTTTAAGCAGCAATTGATTCTCTTTGTAAACTAATTATTACTTGTCTTTCTAGTTAAACATTCCCCATTGTATGCCTTTTTATCTCATTACTACCGATCAAACAATCAGTATCAATAAACAATAATTTAGTTTCTTTTTTTTTCAAGTGAACATATTATTCCTGACCTAATAAATATGATCAAATACACTTAACAGTTAGTTTAATAATAATAAATAACAATAATAAAAGATTTTGTTATTAATAATAAAACGTAAACAACTCAAGTTTGTTTGTTTATTTATTTGTTTACAATAAGATATAGATTTGATTAATTTACTCAAATATTTTTAAGAATAAATTCTCGAAGAAACGTTGAACTGATAAGAACTTTCGTCTAAATAAGAGCGAATAGTTTCACAGTATTTGAGCGCCGATTTGATGTAAGACATTAAATAGTAATAATATATATTTGTAAAATCTTAGCGAATGAATTTGAAGTAAATCCAACGTTTCACCTGGTAATCTGATCCAAGCTTTTTCAAGGAATTATAATCAAACATCAAAATTATCGAACATGGTACATGGTTCTCCGGTTCATTGTATACTGAATAGATCATCCAATCAGCGTTAAAAATGTCTAAACTAGGTATATATATATATATATATATCACAAGTCTCTTACACGCTAATACATATACCTAGTTTAGTTTTCAACTCTGATTGGATGATCTATTCAGTATACAATGAACCGGAGATCCATGTACCTATTTATATTCGATAATTTTGATGTTTGATTATAATTCCTTGAAAAAGCTTGGACCAGGTGAAACGTTGGATTTACTACAAATTCATTCGCTGAGATTTTACAAATATATATTATTACTATTTAAATGCTGAATTTTCTTTTACAGGTTACTTGATGTTATTAAGTATTAAAAAAACGAACAGTTCTTTTATAAATACTTTCTTTTTCTTCAGTAATATATTTTTTATTGAAACAATAATGGTCAAGGCTTTCTCATGATAAAAGTAAACAAATTTTGTACGATGACTAAAAATATTATTTCTTGATATATTTCATAATGAACTAATCTATCGTCGTTGACTGAGATATTCATGACTGTAGTCTGTTCTTGCTCGATTAAAATCTTATCCGCAAAGTATATTTGTAAATATGATGGATCTTTTCTTCTCAGCTAAACAGATTCTATTTTCAATCATCTGTGTAGGGGATATTACACTTCTCTAATATTCAGTAATAAGTTACAATTTAACAAAAATATGAAATGGGAGTCATCAAAGATTTTTGTTCGAGGGTAAACAGTGACTGGTGCTCGAAATGCAGTTGATATGGTTAATTTATTTCTTTGTTTTGTGAACAAACAAAGAAAACCCTCAGAGAAAATCGAGGTATTCGAATTTTGACACACACGATCGACAACTTTTGTTGTCGAACCTGGCTATTACAAGTTGTTGCTGATGTCTTTGTTAAATAATCTATTTTGATTATCTTCCCTTCTGACCTAATTCCTGATTCTACATTTGTCCATGATCTTCTTTATTGGTTGATAAATTTGATAGATTTCGGAGGTTTGATGATTGCTGACTGATTCTTTTCCCGAGCTTAGAAGACTTTTCTGGTTATCTTTGTATTACCTCTATCCAAGATTCCAACATTTCCTCAGTCGTACGAGTGTCCACATGTATTGCTATAAGCCAATATACATCATGATTTTTTACAGCCAGTTGGTTTTCATAAAGATGAAAATGACGACATTCTTCAAGTTGTCCGGTATAGTCTTTCTGGCAGTTGGACGAGTTTATTTTGTTGATAATGTTTGACTTTTCTTTTTTTGTAATTTCACTTTTCATGTATCATAAGGTTGACTGAAGTGATTTTGCTAACTGGGTCTATCACCCACATAGCGTTGTCAAACAGTTGAGATTAAAATCAACAACAAAAACGTAGTCAAATGTAGAAACCGATAAATGGATTATCCTATTACATGTACAGTAAATACCAGAGATTACAACAAGAATACTGAAGCCGCTTTTAATTTGTATAGTACATAAATCAGCTTAATTACTATGATAAATATACCGGAGAATAATTTTATAACCTGCTTAGTTTCACTCTCTACTTTAGAAACCTTTCGACCTGTTTTTTGAATAATATGTATGTAATAAGACATCAATTCTAGTCAGAGATAATAGGGCAGCAATAACGGCAAAAATAACAAGCACTTATTTAGCATACGAACTGTTTGAAACATAGACTTTTAATGATTAATGTTACTGTAACCACATTTGGTTTTCCCCTCAGTTTTTTTGTCGGCCTGATAGACAGTTCCCAGCGATATAAAAACTTGGAGATCTGTTATCAAATTATCTAGAAATAAGTTTCTGTCTACGTTTTCTCTAGCAAGAGGACGGCTTTGTTGGACCACTAAACATCGTGTCAGGTTAATGTCATTTATCATTGAAAAAACTGATTTTACCTTATTCAAGTATGATTCAGGAAATTTGAAGCTTCATACTGTAAATTTCAATGCGATTTTATGGTTCTTAATAACTGGTGTTCGAAGATTTTTTTGTACTAAGACGTGATCGAAGAAGTTCAGTTTATTAATTACTAACCTAATCCATATACATTATAAATAAAACAGCAGTTCGCTTTATGGTAATTCAAGTCTGTATAAAACGAGCACAGATAATTTCTTTTAAGGGCATTTAGCTTTTAATGAGACCGATGAATGAGTTATAATACGGTTAGAGAGAAAAACCTAATGATTAAAACTTGATTATTCTATAGGATGGCTAATTCGTAGCATATTATATGGTAAATCTGTTTTATATACAAGTTCATTTTTATGTACCTTACAAGAGTACGCCGGGAAATAGAAGCAGATATGAAAGGGATGAATAACAACTGGAAAGAACTGGATAGGATTGCCTAGGACAGAGTTGGATGGAGAATGCTGGTGGGCGGCCTATGCTCCTCCACGAGGGGTAACAGGAGTAAGTAAGTAATGTGTTAAAATAAGTTGTAGAACACCGAGTAGTTTGCAACATGTTATTATATTTGATTCCCACATTTTGACCAGTCGCTATACAGAAGTATGGCTCACTGTAGTAATCCTACTTAGATAACAGTAATTAAACGTGAGATACACTAAATAACATTCACTAAGGTCAACAGCTTCTTGACATTCACGATTTCTCATAATTTCAATGCTAGGCTTCATATTACCATACTTTACATTTGTGTGATGCTTTTGTAAACTTAGTACCTATTTTTCCAACCATTTTTGTTACTATACAATTCATTCATTTGTGTTTAAGTATTTTTTGACTTTTCAAGACATTTTTCATTCCCACTTACCATAATTTGATCAGGATAAGATTCAAGTTAACTATTTCGTTACGAATAAAAGTACTATCAGCTGTTGTTGCAATGTCATTTAGTTTAACCATGCCCAAAATGACAACTAACTACAGCTGGTGCTCAATAGTATATGGTTTGGCGTTGCTTAGCCTGTAATTTTATTCTTTTAGGGCTACACATAAATAATCTACAGATAAGGCATATTTCTTGTTAATTTCTATTAACACATCTTTTTCAGGAATATTAGATACGCCGAATTAAGGTGAAAAGTAAATTAATCTTAAGCTGAATTCCCTTTAAAATTCAATCTTCTGATATTATCAAGTTGCCGACTTGGAAAAAGAGAAAAAGCAGATGGTTATTGAATGTTCACGTTGTACAATAAAGAACACAAAATTGTTGTCATTAGTTTGTGTACTAGGGTTTATAAAATCATCAATTTAAAAAAAACTAGGTGAAGAGATTTCTTAAAATCCATAACTTTAAATGAATCGTGATTTTGAGGTAAAAAAATCAAGAAAATTTCCTGTTTTTAGTCACGTTCAAATATGTATATCAATATGTCTGATTACATTATATATAATAAAACAGTCTTAGCATTATTAACGATGGTATTGCTAGTTTGAAGTGACTCTTGAACCAGTAAACAAAGTGTTTATTTGCTTTTTCTATCTGAAGATTTAAATGACTGGATCTGAAAGATTCATAAAGGCGAAATGGTTTCATTAGCAAACAACAAGCTTGATTTCTTATAAACCAGAAAGTTTTTCTAATTTCTCTTTGGAACCTAAGGTTTATTTCAAATATTTTCTAACGATGAATAGTTTCGATATCAATCTATAAAGTTCATCCATTACTATTTACCAGAATGGAACTCAATAATCATTTACTTTGTAATTACTAGTTTCGTATGCTTATTTTATGACACTGTAACTGTCAGACCCAATGTAGACAAAAATAAAATGTACAAGCCATATGTATATGGTGTTCGGTAGTATTTTTTATTAGGAAAGTATAAGTCACAAAGTAGTTCAGAAAGTGAAATATTGACAGAGATTTTGTCTTGTCTTCTTAATAAAACTCTTTTCCTTTTTTAATAGAAAAAAGAAACAAAAATGCATTAGTTATTAGATCTATTGTCTTTCTTTTAAGAGATCATATAAAGAGTAGGGTTTATGTCGTGCTAACGCTGGAATACCATCGTAACTCATGACATCGTCAGCTCCTCTTTTTCCAAATCTAATATAGCGTTTGTTTGGAGTTCTTTCCTGGTTGATGTAGTCATTGTATTCATAGAGTGGATCATAGAAAGGTTTATGAGAATCTGAAAAGATAATTGAAAACAATATTGAAAATAAAATTTTGTTAAACAGTTCTATATTTACAGTATTACAAAATAAGATATTAAATTTTGTTATGAGAAAAAAGGATATTTGCAACAATCAATGAAAGCTTAATGTAGCTTACTATTCATGTTTAGTAATAAGTATATTGTTTTTTATATCTCACTGAGTAGGAAAATTGTATTTTTGACGTTTCATGGCTTAATGTAAGTCACTTCATCAGAGAAAATAACTAACTAACATTAAATTAACACAAGTTTATTTCCGCATGTGGGATCGTGGATGTGCACTTCTGATGAGCCCCGTACTAGGATGAAACAACCGTCCAGTGTTTCCAGGTTTTCACTGGTGGTCTAAGATCAATCGATTCATGATCTAAACCAAAAAACTTATCAGTCTTCACAATCTCATTTTGATAATGTATTTATTATCTACTCTCCACCCAAATTCTCATTTTATTTCAAACTATCAAGTCCAGTCTAGGCATTGATATCTATATTCTCATTTAGGTACGAAGTCAGATCTATGCGGTAAATTTGAATAAATATAATTAGCATAGTGATTACGACCAGTTAATGATAATCTGATAGGTAGTCTCACAAAAAATGTATTTCAAATAAATGCCAGTAGTGGAGCATAAAAGTCAGAATCACTAATGGCTTTGCGACCAATATTTCTTTATTATGAAAATTGTGAGTGATCTGGTTTGCTAAGAAACGTAAAATATACTGAAATGTCATTCTAGTAAAAATAAGCAAACGTTTATTCCCTTAACATTCCTTATGTGACAATACACAAAGATGACCATTGTGGATCAAACTTGGTTTTGGCTCAACAGTTACAGACTAAGATTAAACGTTATTAAACAATGGTTTTCTATTTATGAAAGCAACTATTGAACCTCTCTTTAAAACAGACCATCTACAGAATGTGCGTCTCTAAATCAGATCAAATCTCTTAGACTAACTTTTTCAACAAATACTAAAAAAGTGAAATGTTTACTGGTAAATCAGACATGACTATGTTGACTGTTTAGGAGAAACATAAAAATTAATTTATAAATTACTTGGATATAATTAATTTTTACAAATGTTGCGGTTAATAATATATAAGATCCATAATATAAGTAGACAATGTATCAACATCCGAAATATTGTAAAAGAAACATTGTACACATATCTATACACTTGTCATATATATCTTATTTTCATAGTTGAAATCATGAGTCAATTGAAACTAGACAACCATGGAAAACCTGAAAACACTGAATGGATGTTTCGTTCTATTATGGGACTCCTCAGTGGCAGTGCGCATCCACGATTCGAATCCAGGACCTACCAGCTTCGCGCCGGAGCACTTAACCGATAGACTACTGAGCCGGAAGTCAACGATGTTAATGTCTAACTTCAACCAATCCACGATATATCGTATACAAACATATCTTATACAATATATATCTTATACAAATAAAAATAATTAAACTAACAAAGTTATTTATATTTTGTTGCTGTACCCATAGTTAATAAGAATCTTTTATACAAAACAGTTAAGTTTAGAGATAAATACTCAGTTTTCTTTAGTTTTTTTTGTTGTTTATCGTTCTCATCTTATTATTTTGACCCTATACAACTAGGTGAATTAATAATGAATAAAGAAATTTGTAATGATTATCATATTTCTGTTTACAATCTCACTAATTATTTATTATAACTAAGATAATACTATGTATTGTTAATGATTATGGTTGTGATTGTTATGAATAATAATGTATAATTATTATCATTAAAAAGGTAGATTTACATGGTTACATATGAATTTCATAATTTATTTGTTTAAAAAAATAAGGTTGATAATTGATCAATAAAAGTGATTGTTTGAATGAATTCATGTTTTTTTGTTTTTGTTTGACAAAGTGATATTTTTTACTGCTCCAAAGAAATTAGATCATTTTAGTAGGGAATGTTTCTATTGATTACCTTTAACCATAGGATATAAGAAATATATTCCGCATCATTCGATCTCACAAAAAAATCGTTAATTATTATTTTGTGAAACAGCTGAAAGTTTCATAAAACCACTTAAATGATGAAATGTAAAGTGATATTAAGAGTTTAGTTTTATTTTAAATTAATATCACTGGATATAAGTTAGTTATATAATAAATTTGAATTTCAGTATTGGAAAAAGTGGCTAGTACCTAAAAAGTTTAAAAAATAATTAATAATAAACTATTATATAGTTGAGATCATGAGTCAATTGAAGCTAGACCACCATGGAAAACCTAGAAGCATTGGATGGCCGTTTCGTCCTTTCGTGGGACTCCTCAGTAGTGCGCATCCGCGATACCGCCTCGCGAGATTCGAACCCAGGACCTACCAGTCTAACTCCAATCCGATAGACCACTGAGCCGGCATCCAACGGTGTTAATGTCTAACTTCAACCAATCCACGAAATTGAGCAACCATCCACCATTGTCTTCAATGAATTACTATCTCCCAACAGACCTAATTGAACTCCACTGGTTACCGCTTCTCACTAGAACTCGCGGAAATACCTCATGGAGCCAGGTTTTTTCATGGTGGTCTATCTTCAATTGACTCATGATTTCAATAATATAAAAAAATTACTAAAATCTCCACAAACCCTCCTTCTGATAATAAACTCTTAATTTAGAAAAAATACGATTACGATTGACATAGGACTGTTTACAGTCCACACAACGACTTAGTTAATTAATACTTATAAAGAATCATCAGAATCAAATACATTGAATTTAAGATTCCTAACGTTGATACTGCCTGAATGACGATTCAAAATAAGGTTAATTAAAAAGATAGCATGTTTTATTTTTCTTCTTTCTATATTATATATTTAGCTTAGTTGAATTGAGGATTTAAACTTTTGCATATACAAAGAGATAGTGGAATTTGTCTATGGTAAATATTTAAAAAACAAAATTGTTTCCTGAATTATGTAACAAATTCGTTTTACTGCTTGTTCAAGTTAGTGAATTTACAAAACTTCTAGAATTAAGGAATCTGCCTCAAAATGTATTTAGTTTTTCTTTTTAAAGACGAATGTTCATTTATTGAATTGAAGTAAGTTTTTCAAGCTGCCATCAGTTTCAATAGATATATCACTATCATATAATCAATAATGAATTAGAAAATATTTTTTTGTTAGTTAATGAAGTTTGTTCTAGAAGAATTCCCATTGTAAATTTTACAAACAAACCTATGTATAAATTCACTTAGTATTGTTTGTTTGAATCTTCCCATTGATGTTTAGGACTGCAACTGGTCAATCTCTTATCGGCATATGTGCATACTGTGTGCATTGCCTCGATATAGGTACATCCAGCAGACGAGTCCCAAATAAGACAAAACGCGCTAGCCACTATCCACTTTTGCTGACAAATCTATGTTTATTGGAGATAAATATATCTACTCTCCTTTATTATGAATATATCACTAGAAATATTTGTATCAAAAACCTTTATTATTATATTTCTAAAGACTAATAACATTAAGGTTCATGTTTATACATTTATGAAGTCAGAAAGAAGCGCTGGAAGTGGATAGGACATACATTGAGAAAATCACCCAAATGCGTCACAAGGCAAGCCCTCACATGGAATTCTGAAGGCCAAAGGAAAAGAGGAAGACAAAATAACACATTACGCTGAGAAATGGAGACAGACATGAGAAGAATGAACAAAAATTGGATAGAACTAGAAAGGAAGGCTCAGGACAAAGTGGGTTGGACAATGCTCGTCAGCGGTATATGCTCCATTAGGAGTAATAGGCGTAAACTAAACTAAACTAATATCCATCTGTACAATAAAATTAATCAGACTTAAAGTGGAAAAAATCATTTTACTGCTTATTACATTAATATAAATTTTGTAAATCTTTTAAATAAATTTGATAAATAATGTATCTATGTGTTTATTAATTTTGTCTATATTACTATTTAAACGAGTAGTTTGCTAAAATATAGATTTCATTTCACAAAAGATATATGCTCAGTTTTTGAGTGGATCAATGAAAAAAAATATTTTACTCCCTGCATCATCACGACGGAAACAATGAATAGATTCACGCTCACTGAAAAGTGATAGAGTGTTGTGTTATCAGTCTCCCTAAATTTATACAAAAAATTTACATTAATTTGTAACTAATGTAAAACACTGATAATCATTGAACTCTGTCAAATAAGCAAATTATTGAGTAAAATACAATAATATCCGACTAGGGCAGTACACCTTCATTTAAATCGAAGATATTGTGATTACATCATTTTTAAAAAAAACGTTATTGCTCATCATTTCTTGGTCAGTGTTATTATGAATTTTGACAAAACTCAAAATTTTTCGGCGTTATATGAAACTTTAAAGCTAGTATAATCATTAAGCACCTAAAGCGATATCGAGACCAAGATAAGGGAAATTCTGTTGTTTAGAATACTGATATAGCATAAAGATATTTAGTCAGTACAACTTTAAAGCTAAAAACTTTCGAGGTGTTATAAACGCAAATGAACAAATATAATTAAAAAAGTAAGTTGAAAACCTTCACTTATACCACTAATTGCGGAAAATCTGCTGAACGAAAGGTTGGAGGAGAATCCAGAAATTATGGCTAAAGCTGATGAACAGCCAAATCAAACAAACCAAGACGAAATTTGCAAAACAGTATCAGTTACATAGATTTAGAACTTTAATAGCTCAATCATTATGAATAAATCTCATGATGTCATTCATGAGAAATAAAATGTTCCCAATCATATGAAGTTGAATACAACAGAAAGTTAAATTTTAAGATAATGAGAATAACTTATGGAATAATTGGGACCCATCAGTTACAAAAGGGACAGAGTTGTGTGTCAAAAAAAATAAATAAACAAGGACTGCAAAATGCAATATATATATATATATATATATATATATATACATATATATATATATATATATATATATATATATATATATATGGGAATCTACATACAACGATTAGAAAGCATGGGAAATCCAGTAGTGTGGTGGTGTGTGCTACTAATGTCGACAGATATAAGTAGTATGTGTCACCAATCGAAAGTGCAATGTTTGGAGGCAGAAAACTGAGAAAATCGAAGAGAAGAGAACGAGAACAATGGGTGATTGGTGTGGAAATGAAGGAAAAACAAAGTCTAAGGTAATTCTGTAATGTTATATTAACATGTATTTGGTTGTCTCCACTGGTGTTCTCCTGTCCACTTTTGTGTTATTTATGTTCATCATGTTGTAATCGAACAGTTACTTTAATATTCATTCGGTAAAAAAATAGAACAAGTTAAAAAGTAATAATAAAGTTTTCTACAGAACAGGGGTTATAAAAAATATGCTACATATTGAAATAAGCTATTCGTTACTTATTATCATATTCATGTGTCATGAAATCTATATATTTTATTCAATGATCATTTTAACTTAAGTCATATATCAATATGGCTAACAATGACATAACGTTGGTTTATTCAGACCTGTTTTTTGATTGATAGCATTTAATATTCTTGTTGTTCCGTCGTACTATTTAAACTTGAATTGATGTTAACTTGGTTATTTATTCTCTGAAGAAGCGACTTACACTAAGTCAGAAAACGTCAGAAAATCTAATTTTCCTACTAATTGGAATATTACAAATATATTATTTATTTGTGGCTAACATCTGTTTTCGAAATTCTAATTGGTAGATTGTGTGGTGTTCAAAATACAATTCATGCAAAAAGACCAATATTACTACTTTCAATATTTAATACTACGGTTTCCAGTCACTGTAAATGACCATACAAAGTGTTATTTAGATTCAGTTTGCATTACTAGGACGATAGATTTTATTTAGTCAAAGCATTTGCCATACTTTGCGATAGAAAATCACAGAAAATGCATAGAACCGATCAAAGAAGCCCGATTCAATTTCTAGTTATTTCACGCATTAATTTCTGTATGAACCATCATAGTTAGAAACATGTGAAAAATATTCAAATTTATCAAAATGCCTACAAAAATCAATTTAACTGATATAAGTGAATGAATAACTTGCTTTGTTCTTCAGATAAACTATATACGTCAACCACGAATAAGACCAAAATGGTTAACAACAGTATAGTGAAGAATTCGGACAATTGTGTTTTCATTTTTATTTGCGTACTTTATCTACAAAAATATTAAAAAAATAAACACATAGAATAGTTAAATGTCATTTCATTGAAAAACTTGTCATGAATTGGTTTCTTTGAACTTCATGTCAAATATACATCTGATATAAGTAGTTTAATTAGTCTCCATAATCTTCAAAAGATTGTTCTCTTTTAAAAGTTATTTCTAATAAGTAAGGGTTTTGTATAGTTTGCTTTTTAATTAAGATACCGGAAAGCTTTTCAGTACACTATACTAATTAAAATTGGAAATAAAAATACTCATGGTTAAAAAAAACACTCAATGTTTCTTTATTATTTCAAACTTCCTTTGAAGCATTGGATGACAGTGATTCTTGTCTGCTAGAATTTTAAGAAAGTTATCATGATGCGGACTGATATTATTGCCAAAAGTTTCCACTTGATAATTAATAAATAAACGTTCTCCACCTTACTTTATTTTAATTCATTCATTCTTTTATTTAACCCATTAAATAAATGCAACACAAAAGAATTTGTTCGATCATCACCTCTTATATTGATATTGTTGTTTATCTTTAATCAACGTTTGATTCATTCAGAAAAGGTTTTGCTGAGATTTCAGTATTTCATGGTAGGTCCTGGGTTCGAATCTCGCGAGGCGGGATCGTGAATGCGCACTGCTGAGGAGTCCCATAATAGAACGAGACGGCCGTCCAGTTCTTCCAGGTTTTCCATGGTGGTCTAGCTTCGATTGACTCATGATTTCAACTATGAAAATTTGATTCATTATTACTATTGACTTCATACTAAGTTGCATTGTTTAAGAACTAAATATTCTATAAAAGTGTTCACTGATCAAACAATAATGAAAAATAATTAGTCATAGATCAATGTGCTTATTAAGAAAATAAAGAAATGTAAGCTTTTGAATAGTTTCATGATTTTTGATGGATTTCAATTTGTTAATCCTATGGTATGTGCTACTTATATCAACACAAGTAGTATATAACGCTAGTCAGGAATAGAATGTCTAGCAGCAGGAGCTCAAGAAGATCAAGGAGGAAAGAACAGGAATACAAAGCAATTAGTATGAAAATGCAGGAACAATAAAATGTGAGACGATTGACTGGTATTTACAAAAGAAACAATCAAGTTTGAGACAATTGATTGGCATTTTGCAAATGAAGTATTTATTGTATAGTTCTCAGATTTTACTAACACGTTCTGTAATTTCATGTTCGAATACATTCGATTATTGTCACTTATGTTCTCATTTACTACGATCTTATGGCCACATTTATGTTGTAAATAGTAATTATTTTCAATATTTTACAAACATACGAAAATATGGCACTTTCTCAAATCAAAAATAAAATATGGATTTCATTTGACCATAAAACATAAATGTTTAACCACATGGGTAAAGTCACTCTTTTATTTATCACTGTTATACAGTTAAGTTTCCACTTTAATTATTTCATTGTTAAGAATGTGCTCTAAATGGATGATTCATGTTTTACTTCATAAATAGACAAATTTAATTACAATAATAATAGAATATATGTAATGCATGAATTAACCTACATATTAAGTCTTATATAATTACGTTTAGATTGATTTTCATCTGAAATCATCGAATATTCTCTAGAGTTTTAACAAATCTAGACAAAGAAGAAAGCTGAAGGAGTTAAAGTACTTCATTGTACCTTAGAAACAAAGTTCGGAAATTATTTTACATGTCACTAAAGACAATACAGTTTATTGAGAGGAATTATATAATTTTATTTATAGTTGTTGGTAGAATTCACTTTATACGTTTATAAAATGTCAAATAATAACATATGGTTATAATGATCAGAAATACGATATCGTGGATCAAAATGTTAAAAAATGCAAACTGCACAAGTGTTTTCGAAGTTTGAAATGTTTGTGTACTTTAAAAAAGTGGCTTCAGATAGCTAGAAGACATACTCATAATAAATAAAAATATCATTATAGGATTAAGAAAATCGTTGAGGTCATACTCTTATCAATGTTAAACCACCATTCAAAACCTGGAAGCACTGAACAAAGATGGTCGCACAACATCGTGGATTGCTTGAAGTTGGATTCAGACTTACTGGTCTAGATGTTAAGTGTTTGAGCTCAACCGAAGGTCTTGGGTTCACGTTTTGTGTATATACTCGTGGATGGGCGCTGATGAGGAGTACTTTGATAGGATGAAATAGCCGTCCATTGCTTCCAGGTTTTTAATGCTGGTCTAACACTGTTCTGTTCATGATCTCAATAAATTAGAATATTAAAAATAAAGACAAATAACAAATTACATGTTTTTTAATGTTAGACGTTATTACGATACATTAAAGTATAAAAAATGAGAAAAAGTACGTCATTGAAATGATATTTTAATACTGATTATTCAAATTCGTGGAGATGAATCCCTCTCAAAACAATTTCTTCAGTGAATACCAATTTCTCATTCTTCTGAATACCTATTATATATATAAACAAAATAATATATTTTGCAACTGATCACAATATTCATAGAAAACTGTTTTGTGAAAATCGATGGTTTTATGTACTTTGCTGTTTATTTTCGCTTTTACTTATCAACCTTAGACGACCCAACGGTTAAATAATGAACATAGAAATTAATGATCGATTTCATGTTTCTGGATTTTATTTACAAACCAGTTGATTATCATAATTCATTGAATTGTTATTTTGATTTTCCACGAAAAATACATGTGATTTGTAAACATTAAATAAGTAAACAATGATTATGTTCTAATTGTTTTAATTTTCGATGAGAAAACTATCAGGAGAACATTATATTGTTCTCATCTTCAATCAAATTACCGTTTTATATTTATTGAGCAGTGGTTTTCTCCAATTATGTTATTATTTATATAAAAAAACATTGAGTAAACCGAAATTGAGAGACATAAAGTTTTCTCAACGATTCTTGAAATAATAAACTTATATTATTGCTGAATTGTTTATTACATAATAGTCAGAAGAGGTTTTATGGAGATTTCAGTATTTTCATAGTTGAAATCATGAGTCAATTGAGGCTAGACCACCATGAAAAACCTGGAAGCACTGACAGCCGTTTCGTCATTTTGTGGGACTCCTCAGCAGTTTGCTCGGTGGTTTATCGGTTAAGCGCTCTGGCGCTAGACTGGTAGGCCTTGGGTTCGAATCTCGCGAGGTGGGATCGTGGATGCGTACTGCTGAGGAGTTTTACAAAACATCCGTCCAGTGTTTCCAGGTTTTTCATATTGGTCTAGCTTCAATTGACTTGTGAATTCAACTTTGAAAAATATTACATAATAGTTCCAGTATTTTTTTGTATACAGTTTTAATCAAAATCTTTGTTTTAACTTGTAAAGAACTTAGAATAATTAATTGAAAACTACAGTCAATTATCTACAAGGTAAGTTAAAATTATCTTTGTAATTTTATGAATTCTTAAATAAAAAAAGGAACAACATTGACGACTTTGACAAATTTTCTTATCTTCTTATATTCTTTTCACTTAAGCTGGTATGTGGAAAAAACTTCATTATCCATCGGAATTGTAAGCACACAATGAAATGATTTTCATTCATCAAAATATGAAATAAAAGTATGATAAATTTATTTCACTATTTTTCCCCTCTCTAAATATTAGATAATGTATCAAATCATTACTTTATGTTTTTTAAGTAGTATTTGTAACAAATTAGTAGTTTTATAAGGAAAATAAACAAACTTTTCACAAAATATAAATTAAAGAAACACTTTAAAATTTACCCCCCCCCAAAAAAAAACCCTTACAAATGATGACGATTTCACGTTATTTATGAAGAAAAAAAACTATTCATTTTAGTCTTATTCATATATAGCTTAGATAGTTATAGGGAACTTTGATTAAAATGGCTGGAAAAATGAGTATTTTATGTTTAGATAATCATTTTTCAATTATACAATACACATCAATCATTATAGATGATGAAATGTTTCTAAACAAGACTGATATCATAACTTACCTTATTATTATTATTATTATTATTATTATTATTATTATTATTCTACTTTAAAATGTTTCCCGCCCACGGAATTATTTTAAACTGTTTTTTTCATTTTTTTCAATATTATCTACTTATAATTATGGGGAAACTTATAGGGGGAAATCATTAATAAACTTTCTTTCTATGTACCAAGATTTAAAATGAATTAAATAGTTTACTACTATTCTATAAAAAAAAAATTAGATTTATAAAAAGAGTAGATAAATGTGTAAACAAATGAATGAACAGCATCTGAGAATTTAAAATACACATTCAATTTAGATTTGTAAATTTATATAAAAATTGATACATTTGAATGATAATTGTTGATCACAGTAAGAAGGAGGTCTGTTGATGAATTGTTTAATCCTATAAATGTTAGATGAACAAATTTGTTTTATACAAGACATCACTGTAATTTCACTTCAATGAATTAGTTCCATACTTTATTTTAAACGTTTTCACTAGTAACGAGTAATTTTTATACGAAAAATGTTTCTTTTTATAAACATTTCAATAGTAAATAAAGTAAAAATTACATGAAGCATCTAAATGAAAATAAATACATAATTCACTCAATACTGCTTTTTTGAATCTTCCCATTCATGCTTAGGATTGCAACTGGTCAGTCTCTTATCGGCATAGGTGCATACTGTGTGCCTTGCCTCGATATTGCCTTAATTCACTAGGATTATAAGCAAAGATGGATAGTGGCTAGCAGGGGAATCCAGGACGCGCGTTTCGTCCTATTTGGGACTCGTCAGCTGGATGTACCTGCATCTCAGAGTTGATACTCACCCTGGTATTCGAACCCAGTACCTTTCGCTTCGAAAGCCGTTGCGTTGTTCACTTATCTACTGAGTCCTGATAACTACTTGCTTGTGCAATGAGGTGAAGTTTGAATTCACTTAGTATTGTTTGTTTGGATCTTCACATTGATGCTTAGGACTGAAACTTGTCACATTTCGGGCTTTTATTAGATTAATTATAAATAGTCTGCCAAAACAGAATTTACCGAGAGGATTTCTAAAAACTGATTTGTTGTCAAAATTATATCTCACTGATATTTCCTAAATAAAGTTACATTTATGATGTATTCATAGTAAGCGTGCAATGAATAAGTTAAATGATTAAAATTGGTTGATAAGAGACCTTGAAGCTATGTTTCAGCCTAATGAGCATTCATCGGCAATGACGTCCTGTATTATTTACAGAAATTGTCCTTTCCTTGTGGTTCAAATCAAAATCATTTGGCGTTTTATTTCCATTACGTTATTCAGACTAATTTACTATAAAACTGAGATTGTTAAGCTTGTATGCCAGAGTACAATATCTGATTTCATATTGTCATATTGTGTCAGTCGAATCCTGTAGATCAAAATGCCTAACATTATCAAAAGAAAATCAGGTATTGGACACTTCTGAACTTAAATCACACTGCCTTATATCAAATCATAATATACATCATTTTGTTTCACTTACATCAATGACATCGTCATCGGTAGAATCCGATCAGTAGTAGGAACTAAATAAATATGACACTGATCACCACTCATTAGTTGGTCAACGTGATTATTCAGTTACTAACTAGGTGGTTATA